GTGTGTGTGTGTGTGTGTGTGTGTGTGTGTGTGTGTGTGTGTGTGTGTGTCGGGGACAGCTGAGATGTGAGACCAACAGCCCAACACCCAGAAAGGGACCTGTACCGACAAATACATAAACCAGAACACAAGAAGCACTCCCAGGAATTATAGGGAAAGGGGACCTCTAACACCAGCAAAACAATGCCAGCTTGTGTTCCCGAGGGGAGGGTCACTTCCCAGCCAGGGCGAGGTCACCGAAGACAGACGGCTTCACCAGAAGACAGGTCAGGTTCAACTCCATCAGTCTCACCCGCTGAAACAGAGGTTTCCCAGCCTCACGGCTACAGCTCAACTCAACCTTCCTGAAGGACATTCCAGACGTGACTCCTCAGCCGTACTTTCAGAGTCCATTCTCAGTTCCATTCCAAACCCAGGCAGCACCTCCTGCCTGCTTCCTCTCAACTGAACCCACAAACCCAAGAATGATACAAAAAACATTCTTGACAGCAGCTGTTTCACAAAAGGGAACACTGGTCTACGCTCTCAAATTTGGGGAGAGCGAACCTCAAAAATCATCATCTCCTTACCCTTGAGTTTTCCCACAGGCTTTCAAGTTCTTTCCTAAAGACATTACACTTCCCACTGCCCCATCCATGGGACTGAAATGACAAGGTGGTTTTAAAAAAATGGGGAGAACCCCTATCAGGAGTCCTTGGAGAGATCTATTAGAGCATATGCCTCTACAAGCTGATGGGGCAGAGACGCCGCCACCTGACCCGCAGCAGGAGAGGCCCTTTCCGGGGAAGCGGTGGATCCGCTGCTGGACCGCTCAGGGGCCCAGGGTAGTAGACATCCACAGAGACAGCTTCGGGGGAGGGGAGCACGTACTTGGCACAGCCGCTCAGGCAGGCCTTCTGCATGGCATCGATGGTGTACCGCAAAAACTCGTGCGCGTCCTCCTGGTTCCCAAAGCGGAAGTGCCGGGCGATCTCTAAGAAGGGAAGGAAGAAGCGTCAGGCCAGCAGAGAAGAGCCCCTGCCTTCTCTCTGAACGGCCCATTCCCGCTGGTCTTGTGGCCATCTCTTAGCAGACCCAGGACTAAACCCCAGTGAGGAAAGGGAGCCCTGCGTCCCAGGCACCTCCCTGATGGCCGTTATCTTCCCAGTGAGACTCTCTACACGTAACAGAAAGCACGAATGGATGCCCAGGGGTAAGGATATGAGCTCCGCTAATTAATTAAGCTGGCTTTCCAGGAGCCAATACAGACCATGGCAGATCACCACCACGTCGGCCCAATACAACATACACAGGCTTCAAAAACACCAATGGGCGGGCTTCCCTGGTGGTCCAGTGATTAAAAATCTGCCTGCCAACGCAGAGGACACAGGTTCAATCCCTGGTCCAGAAAGATCCCACATACCATGGGCAACCTAGCCCATGTGCTGCAACAACTGAACCCGAGCTCTAGAGCCTGCGGGCCCCAACTACTGAGGCTCATGGGCCCTAGAGCCCATGCTCAGCAACAAGAGAAGCCACTGCAAGGAGAAGCCCACACACCACAACTAGAGAAAACCTGCGAGCAGCAGCCAAGACTCAGTGCAGCCCGATAAATACGTAAATACACAACAGCAACAAAACTAAGGGCCCACCTCTGCCAAGCAAAACAGAAACCTGACTTTCAGGGCACATGGACCCTGGTTCCTCGGATGCTGAGAAAAGGCCTCACAGCACTTCCTCACCTACCTCCCCGCCCAAAACACACAGCCCCTGGCCTGGCTGACCCCGCAGGATCCTGGGGGAAGGGGCCGGGGCAGGGGTCATCACCGGCTCCATGGACTGCCCCGTGTCCATCCGGCTCCAGGGCCAGCTTTAGTCTGCACCTCTCTGTGCACAAGGCCTCTAGGCTTGCCCCCATCCCGCCCCCCCAGCACCCCCCGGCAATGCCGCCCGCCCTGGGAGGAAGCCGCTCTTACTTCGCAGGTCCCGGATGAAGGACACGGGCTTGATGGCGTTGCCGCTGTTGGCAAAGGCCTGGATGATGTGGTTCTGCATGACGCACAGCATGCAGAAGCTGCCCTGGTGACCTGCGGGTGGGGACAGGCGGTCATGGTAGGGCCCCAGGAGCTCCCAGGAGAGCTGACAACACAGCCTCCTGGCTGGCAGAGAGCAGAGCCCCTCAGCCCACCCACACCCTGCAAGGCTGGCCGCACCCAGGAACCCGTCTGTCCGTGAGACCCAGCCCAAGGAGTGTGAGCCGCCAAGCTTGGTTTAGAACGTGTCCTCTGACCTGCAAATCGCATCACGTGGTCAATGGCAGAGAACATTTCGGGCTTCCCGACAGACACCCCTTCACTCGCTCTTCAGCATGGGAACTTCTGCTGTCCCCAGGAGACATCAGGGCTCAGCCAGCTCTGGGGAGAGCCCAGGCGCCCACTGCCCCAGTCTACCTGTCCCGACTCTGCGGCCCCAGAGGACACCCACGTGGACGCGGGACCGGTTGGCTGCTGGCCAGATGGTGCCCCTCAGGCTGGGCGAGCCCCCTGCTGGAGATAAACTGTTTGTTCCGCCAGGCGTTAGGCTAGACAGTGTTACACGAATCTCTGTGTGCGCGTGTTCAGTCGTGTCTGACTCTTTGTGACCCCGTGGACTGCAGCCTGCCCATCTGTTTACGGGATTTCCCAGCAAGAATACTGGAGTGGGTTGCCATTTCTTCCTCCAGAGGATCTTCCTGGCCCAGGGACTGAACCTGCGTCTCTTCCGTCTCCTCCACTGGCAGGCAGATTCTAGCTACACTTCTAATTACGAACTATCTTAAATACAAAGAGAAGAGCAAAGACAACACCCCACTTTAGGCGATTTTTAAGTCAAGCACTGGTGTGACAGTTGAACTCCCATCTCAGCCTCTCACACCCCCGTTCCCCACGTCCTCTGTCCGTCCTTTGACCTCTGGCAGCAGGGACCCTCACCCTAACTGGGTCACCGCTGTTCCCAGGCATGGATTCACCCTGCTCCACACGTGGCACTCACCGGCATACTGCAGCTGCACGTTTAGGCCCACTTTCTATAAACTGTACCGAGCTGCCCTCTAGTCCTCCCTCCGGACCCCAGTTCACCCACACAGCCCCCTACTCACTCATGTCAAACCCCACTTCCTGCAGTCACAAACGCTGGGGTGAACGGTCCTGCACCCACCTCCTGCATGGGTGTGGCTTTCTCTAAGGCATACACCTACAAGATACACTTTTGGGTCCAAAGGGAAGCACATCTCTAGTTCTACAAGCTACTGTAATCTCAAATATAGTGCATGACCTTCCCAAACAGATCCAACCAGAGATCAAACCTGGGCCCTTAGCACTGAAAGCTCAGAATCCTAACCACTGGACTGCCAGGGAATTCCTCCAAACTTCCCATGTGCCTATGACTTCTGCTGCAGGAACATAATTTTCAACCAAAGAGAGCATCACTCCCTCCTCGTCTCCTGCGTCACTGCTCTGGCCGGGACCAGCACATCAAACATCAAACACAAGTGCACAGAGCAGCCCTCCTTGCTTCTCTCCTTACTTTAAAAATGTGCTTCTGCTATTTTCCTAACTGGAATGCTTTTTTGTAGTTTTTGCTAGATATCTTTTATAAACATTAGTAAAAATCTTTCTGTTGCTACTTTACTAAGAGGTTTTTAAATTTATTTTCAAGTGACCTTTCTCTCTCAATCTATTAATAAAGTGATAGCAACTGAGGCAGCAAGATTAGCAGTCATGTACATAGAACTTGGGGATCCCCTGGTGGCTCAGACATTCAAGAATCTGCCTGCAATGTGGAAGGCTGGGGTTTGATCCCTGGGTTGGGAAGATCCCCTGGAAAAGGAAATGGGCTATCCGCTCCAGTATTCTTGCCTGGAGAATCCCATGGATAGAGGAATGGGCAGGCTACAGGCCATGGGGTCACAAAGAGTCAGACACGGCTGAGAGACTAATACTTTCATGCAGAACTTACTGTGCACCAAGGATTATTCCAAGCATGTTATGTAACTCACTTAAGCTTTACAGTGACAGTGAAGGCGGTATTATTGTTACTTCACAGATGAGGGACAGGTCAGGTAATTTTCAAGGACACACAGCCACTGGGCGATAGAACCAGGATGGAACCCAGCAGGCCGGCCTCTGGGGTGTTCCCGCAGCTGCTGCGCTCCACACTTACACGTGGAGACGGCCTGACATCAGACCATCCCTGCGTTACTAGGGTGAACACAAGCTGCTCACGGTGCTTACAAGACTACTGAATTTGCTGGTATTTTACCTAGAATTTTTACATATATATTCACGAACGAGATGGAACTGTAATTTTTCTTTCTCGTATTGTGCTGGTTTAATTTTGTTACTGAAATCAAGAGAACCTTACTGAATGAGCTAGGAAGTTTCTCTTTCTTTTACTCTGGAAGAGGTTGTGAAGCACTGAAATGATCTCTTAAAAGTTTCAATAAAACTTACTCGTCAACTGTCTCAGCCTGGTGTTTTCTTCACGGGGAAAAAACTTAACCACTGATTTAATTTTGTTAATGGTTGAAAGGCTAGTCAGACTTTCTGTTCTATCCTGTTTGGCGAAGTTATCTTTTCTTTCAGCTTTAGTTTACCGATATTCAATTTCCACTTTGGAGAACATTTCATAATGCACATAAAACGGTGCTACTATAATAAACGTGATTATCGAATGTACGTATTTTGGAGGTTATTTTCCAAAAGCCCTTTTTTCTGTTTAGGTGATTATTTTCAGATCAGTTTAGAGACCATTACTCTACCTGGATTCTCCTTCACTGTGCATCCTGCAGCCGGCACACCTCAAATTTAGGATTTATCAGTGACTACGCAGCATGAACCTGACTCCTAAATCTGACCCAGGCTACAAATGGCAGCACCACAAGCACGCGGGTTTGTCCAAATAAGAGAAAGTCTGGTCCTGAGCACCCACAGCGGCCCCACGGCAAAGGCACGCTCAGAGCCATGCGTGTGCAACAGCAGGCCCCAGCCCCGCTCTCACTCACAGCCCCGCGTGTGCTCCTTGGAGAGCAGGTAGTTGGCCAAGGGTGGCGTGTAGGTCAAGCACTGCACGGTGGAGTTCAGGAAGCAGGTATTGCCAAGGTTGTGCAGGCCCGCGCCCACGCGGTACACGCGCCCCCAGCGCAGCGACAGCCGCTCCACCGGGAAGAGCACCTTCTGGGGCGCGGGGACCCCGTCGCTGCAGCTCTCGTAGGCATGCTCGCTGCCTGAAGTGGGGGACAAGAGAGAGGAGGGCCTGACGGCTGAGCCCCAGCACACCCCGCAGGCGCACGCTCAGGAGGCAGCGTCTGGGGGTACCTGGGTCCCCACTCTGGAGCCCAGGAGGAAGCCTGTGGCCCCACGGCTCTCCCCAACGGCCTTGGCCTGGAGCCCCAGAGCCCCTCTGTGGATGAGCTTTCGAGGACAGCTGGAGTTAGCAGGCCCTGGCGCTGACCCACCCACGTCGCCAAGCCCTGTTCCTGAACCTCTCGAGACAGAGCTCGCCCTCTGGCCAACCCTGTTCTGTTACTTTTGCGGCTAAAACCTACTGGTCCCATGCCTGACACTCACAACTGACCACACCGTGTTTCTGTTCCTACCACCAGTCAGCATTCTATCCCTCTGCCTGTCAGCACACGGCTGGGCCCTCTCGGCACCATCCTCTGCATCTGTACCCTGTCTCCGGGCCGGCGGTTCATCTCCGCTCCGGTGGCACCCAGCTCCCTCCGTCCTGGGGTTCAGCAGCACGTATTTGCTCTTCAGTGACTCCAGTTGGTAGGAGAAACTCTTGCTGGCCGGCTCGAACTCCAGCTTCTGCAGAAGGACCTTCTTGGCAGAGGCGGCCAGAAGCTTCCCCAGTTCCCCATCGTCAGCCGAGTCCCTGCGGCCAGGCTTGAGGGCTTCCTTCAGCTTGTCCACGATGGGCATGGTGCATCACTGGGGGACGAGGAAGAACACAGAGCAGTGGGTAAGCGGGCCCTGGGAGCAGAGCATCCCTTCTCTGACAATCCCCCTCCATGAGCCTTAGGGATGGGTCCCTTCTCTGATAACCCCCTCCTGAGCTTTAGGGATGGGTTCCTTCTCTGACAACGCCCCCCCATGAGCCTTAGGGATGGGTCCCTTCTCTGACAACCCCCCCCCATGAGCCTTAGGGATGGGTCCCTTCTCTGATAACCCCCTCCTGCGCTTTAGGGATGGGTCCCTTCTCTGACAACGCCCCCCCATGAGCCTTAGGGATGGGTCCCTTCTCTGATAACCCCCTCCTGCGCCTTAGGGATGGGTCCCTTCTCTGACAACCCCTCTTGGGCCTTAGGGATCGGTCCCTTCTCTGAAAATCCCCTCCAGGGCCCATGAAAGCAGCTCTGGCTTGGCCACCAACCCTACAGTGCAAGCGGAAGACACGAGACTGCTCAGACAGAGCATCCACACCTTTCCTCTCAAAAAAGACAGAGTGCCTCCACGAACAGCACTAAATGGCAGACACGGTCCCGAGGAGGTCAGACTACCCCCTTGATGTCATCTCTTCAAGAAGTAGCACTGAGTAGAGACTTCCCCAGTGGGCCAGTGGTGAAGAATGTGCTTGTCAATGCAGGGGACGCGGGTTTGATCCCTGGTCCAGGAAGATCTCACATTCCTCGGGGCAACTAAGCCCCTGTGCCACAACTACTGAGCCTGTGTGATGCAACTATTAGCTTGGTGCAAAAGTAACTGCAGTTTTGCATTGCTGCACTTTGCTGTTCGATACTGGAAATACAGTCTTACATAAATGTGATTATGCTATACATCATTTTAATGCATATTTCTTGCTTTCTGGGTTTTTTGCTAATGAATTAAATTATTTGCTGTTTCAGTTCAGTTGCTCAGTCGTGTCTGACTCTGCAACCCCATGCAGCACACCAGGCCTCCCTGTCCATTACCAACTCCTGGAGTTTACCCAAACTCATGTCCGTTGAGTCGGTGATGCCATCCAACCATCTCATCCTCTGTCGTCCCCTTTTCCTCCTGCCCTCAATCTTATTTTATATTTATTTTAGATTACGGAAATGTTAGACAAAAAGCAAAATCAAGCAGTTTTTTATTCACATTCAAAATGGGTTGTAAAGCAGTGGAGACAATTCGCAACATCAACAATGCATTTGGCTCAGGAACTGCTAACGAACGTACAGTGCAGTGGTGGTTAAAGAAGTTTTGCAAAGAAGACAGAGCCATGATGATAAGGAGCGCAGTGGCTGACCATCGGAAAGGTGAAAAAGCTCAGCCTCGTGGGCTGACTGGAAATCAAAAAAATTGTTATTTTGAAGTGTCATCTTCTCTTATTCTACACAACAATGAACCATTTCTTGATTGGATTGCGAAGTGTGATGGAAAGGGATTTTCTATGACAGCCAGCAACCATCAGCTCAGTGGCTGGACCAAGAAAAAGCTCCAAAGCACTTCCCAAATTAAAACTTGCACCAAAAAAAGGTCATGGTCACCTGTGGTCTGCTGCCAGGTCTGATCCACTACAGCTTTCTGAATCCCAGGGAAACCATTACATCTGAGAAGTATGCTCAGAAAATCGATGAGATGCACCAAAAACAGCAACACCTGCAGCCGTCACTGGTCAACAGAAAGGGCCTAATTCTTCCCCATGACAATGACCAACCACATGTCACACAACCAACGCTTCAAAAGTTGAACGAATTGGGCTACAAAGTTTTACCTCATCCACCACATTCACCTGACCCCTCGCCAACTGACTACCCTTCTTCAAGCATCATGACAACTTTTTACAGGGAAGACCTTTTCACAACCAGCAGGAGGCAGAAAATGCTTTCCAAGAGTTCACTGAATCCTGAAGCAAGGATTTTTTATGCTACAGGAATAAACAAACTTATTTCTCATCAGCAAAAATGTGTTGATTGTAAGGGTTCCTATTTTGATTAATATAGATGTGGTTAAGACTAGTTATAATGATTTAAAATTCACGGTCCGAAACTGCAATTACTTCTGCACCAACCTAATATCAAGTCCACGCACTGCAACGACTGAAGGCCGTAAGCCTAGAGCCTGTGCTCCGCAACAAGAAGCCTATGCACGGCAACTAGAGCGCCGTCCCCACTTCTGCAATTAGAGAAAGACAGCATGCAGCAACGCAAAGTAAAATACATACATAAAATTTAAACAAAAAGAAAGATATACCATCAAGTGACTGTGGACATCACGCTTGGTGTCATTTCCCTCAAAGGGCGACCACGTGGGCCTAACGTCTGCTCAAAACCAGGGAAATGCTAATTCTTGCAAGACACTCTGGTCACACACACAGATCCACATAATAAAGGAATTCCCAAGGTGAGTGAGATAAGGACACCCCTGTGTTCAGACCCACAGTCTTCAAAACCAAGAAGGCCATGAGCCTTAAGGGGTCGCCAGACACAAGAAAGGAGGCTGGTCCAAACTGGATGTGCTGGAGTGTAAAACACGTGGACTTCCAAGACTGGAGTCTGCACATGGAAAATGTCTCAGTCATTTTAAGGCTGGTTATATGCCAAAGTGCACTTCTTATTTGATCCATTTATTTACGGTTGCTCTGCGTCTTCGCCGTCGCCCACGGACTTTCTCCAGTTGTGGCGCACGGGCTCCGCGCTGCAGTGGAGCACCGGCTCAGTAGCTGTGGCACGCGGGCTTAGTTGCTCTTACAGCACTGGGGATCTTCCCAGACCAGAGACCGAACCCACGCCCCCTACACTAGTGGGCTGATTCTTAACCACCAGACCACCAGACAAGCCCTGAAATGATCATATTTGATGTATACTGGGTTAAATAAAATTCATAAAATTCAATAAAATTCATCCACCCGCTTCTTTTTATTTTCTAATGTGGCCAGTGCAAAACCCAATGATACCTGTGGCTTGTGTTATCGGATAGTGCTTGTGCAGACTATCTTTTTAAAAGTGAGAGAGGAGACAAATGATAGTAACAGGACCAGAAAAGTATACACAAGACCCTGAAGCTTGAGACGGTGTAGCAGGCAGGGGCGCGGCGGCAGCTCGGACTCTGGAATGCCTGCGTTATTCCATCCTGGAATAGCTATAAACTCCAGGGAAAAAAAAATCACTGTGACTGCCATAGCCTATTCTTTATAAAACAGGAATAAGAACAGCATTAAAGGTGCCTGTGGGGTTAATGGGGAGACACACACTGGATATGAGCTGAGTACTAGCTGAGGAACCACAGTGTAACAAACCAGAAACCCCTGTCACCCCTGACCGCTACACGTGGATCTACCACTTTCCCGTCTCATCCACTACCTCTCAACCATCTGGCCAAAGCTCAAGGACTATTTGACTCACAATTAGATAAGAGGTTCCTTACACGACATACTTTCATCAGAAAAAAAGATGACTCCCTTGGGTATGTGATCTCCGGTTGGACCCAGGAGACCCAACTGATCAGGCGGACCCAAAACTCTGCTGCAGTGAAAAGACTCCCTCCAGCACCTCTGATGAAACCACCCAGATTTAAGTTATGGGGCACCTAATTCTGTATATGGATCAAATTTCTTTTTCTATAAAAATTTCTATAAAGAACACAAATGTAAAAACATTATTAAAAAAAAAAGCAAGCACAAGTTCTTTGACATGAAAAAAAATAAAAGAAGCTTTCCTAAGGAGAATTATCTAAGAGAGCTCACCAAACTGAACAATGGCTGCTGGACCAAGAGCGGGCTTACCTGGGGTGTCTGAACTCGGGCGTGCTGTTCCTGCAGCGTGGGGTCAGGTGCTTGGCCGGGCTGGGCAGGCAGGGTGCTGGGCCCTCAAAATCACGTGCTTCCCAGCTTTGGGCCCGTTAAATCATCAGAGCTACAAGCATGTTGTCCGGAAGAGGCATCAGATCTGTGGGATGAAAGCACACCACATAAAGCCACCTCTCTTCCCGATGTCTCACCAGCCCTCCTCCCTGGACGTGAAATAGGAAGGCCAACCATCTTCCGCTAATAGTCAGCATTAAGGCAGAAGCAATATGGATAGTGCGAAACACAGGAAGAGTGGAGGACAGCTAAGGTAACTAGCTGCAAACGATTTTGATGGATATAATACGAAAACCCTGCCCTCTGCTGAGACCTTAACCTTCGCGCCAGCAACAAGCCCAATGAACAAATATCTTCCCCATACTCACTAGTCAACTCCAATCTCCACTGCATTTGCAAAGAGTAAGAGATAATAGATAATCATCTCCAACTTTCAGTTTTCATGAGCCAGTAAGATTTCAAAAAAAAAAGAGAAAAAAGAAAACCGAACATGCAATGACAGCTGCCAAATTTTCACTCTAGCTAAGTCTGCGGGTTTTTTTCTCCTGAATTACCAACCACAATCACTATGATTACAGAAAATTAAAGCACTTAAAAACTTTTTTACTGTGAAAACATTAGTATACAATGTAGAAAGAACAGCACAGGGAACCGCCATGCTCCCCTTATTCAGCTTCAATAATTACTGGGTGGGATCAGGCAATTCCTCTCCTGTCCCCATGTTACTTCACAGCAAGTTTTAGATACTACACCAAGTCTGATGTCCATAAATAAAAGCATATTAACTCAAAGAAAAAAAAAGACACAATGAACATGATCTCAGAATGAAGACAATGTGTAAAGATTTTTCTCATGAAAACTCCCTACAATGTCCCTCTTCTTGTCAACACCTCATATCGCTGAGGACTCTGTCATGGGCAGAGACATGGGTTTGGGAAACTCTTGAAGCTAGAGGATAAGCAGAACTTGGGAGATTTAACCCAATTTCATTTGAGATGAATAACTTAGAGAACACCTACACTACATAGCCCACTCCTCAATATGGAGTCAAGAAATTTTTAACAAATCGAATTTTTCCAGTTTTGACAGAAAGATGAAAACTCTACATCGCCAGTCCCACCCGAAACATTAAGCAACAACCTACAAATGATTTCTCTGAGGTGCAGCCACCTAGAGAAAAGATGCCCTTGTAATACACCATCAAAAGCCCTCTGATGTACACACCAGGTAACACACTCTTCAAAACTCTGCAGGTTGCTCTTTCCTACTGTCCAGGAACAGCTCATACTGAGGCTCATACTTATCCATGCACACTTCTACTCAAACAAAGCGCTCTCGATTGCCATTCAAGCACATTTTCCCCCCTCCTCCCTGTAAATGCATTTTTCCAGCATAAACTGCGCTCAAGACTCACAGGGTCAACCACGTGCTGGCGGGGAGGCGTCCCCGGGGCTGGGGCCTCCCTGAGGCACTTTTACAGGGGCCTCTGCAGCAAAGCCAGCGCTGGGCCCCAGCCAGGAAAGAGCAAACGGAGTGTCCGTCTCCCCGAGACCTGATTCTCCACCTCCCTTACAGGCCGTGGACTGAGGCAGGACCAGGATGTTTTTCCTCTCTCTAGCATCTTTATTTTAGGAGGCTGCTCTAACTCCGGGAACCCCAGGGGAGACCCAATACTACCCGACTAAAGAAATGGCTATTTTAAAAACTCACATCTTGAACCCACCCCTTCACTATAACCACGAGGAACGTTATCCTCTCCAGGAGTGAGCCTTCCCCCATCTCTTACAAATAAGATAAAGGAACAAAACATCAGCCCTGCTGACAAACCGAATGCCCTCGCCCTGATTCTAACTTAAGCCACTCCAGAGAAAATCTGAACTCTGCATAAATGATGCTGTGCGTAACGACCGTGTCCAACACCGTCACAGGCTGCTGCCTCCTGACCTGCCTGGGCTCCTGACCGGGCCAGCTCTCCCTTGCACCGTGGGTCGCTCTGAAAGCGCAGGAAAGAGCAGAGAGCAGACCTGGGGCAGCCCGGACGGAGGGCACATTTCCTGGGCCTCCCCGTGGACTGCCGAGCCCTCGGGGACGGCGCAGCCCTGGGGCCTCCCCGGAACCCCTCGTGGACGGGCATTTAAGGGGCCTCTCCGTGGGCCCCAGAGCCCCTGGCGAACGCACGGCCCCAGGGCCTCCCCGTGGACCCCGGAGCCCCTCGCGGACGCCGCAGCTCCGAGGACCGTTCGTGAACCTCCAAGCCCTGCGCAGACAAACACCCATGTCTCCCCTCGAGTGTCCACGGGTGCGCCCCGCGTCGGGCGGCAAACTCCCGGGGGAAGTCCCTCAGCCAGGCTGCGCGCCGCCCCAACCTGGTCCCAACTTACCCAGCCCTCAGCTGGCCCGGCTACAGGGCAGCGTCGCTGGCGTCTACTCGGCACGGGCCCCGCACACGCACCATCCGGGTCTCCGGCGCCTCACACACGTGTCACGGCGACTCTTAAAGCAGACGCGGCGTGCGGCCCCGCGCGGCGGAACCCCGAGAGGCCCCCGGTGGCTTTAAGAGGCGGTGCTCTCTTCCGCCATAGTCCCTGGGTCCGCCCACAGCCGCTGGACGCTCCAGAAACGTCACCTCCCCCATGTCGCGGCCCCGCCAGCCTACGCGATGACGTAAGCACGCAGAGTCGGAGGCGCCCCACCCTCTTGGCCCGCGCCTGGCGACTTCCCGCAGAGCACGTGAACTGCCTGCTTCCGGGTCCGGCACACTGGGCGTGCTTTGGGCTGCTTTTGGGGGTCGGTCATTTTCGCCTATCGTCCCGGTGGTGGCGTTGGGCGGGCGCTTGGTTGCACCCTCCAGGGCATTTAGTGACCGAGACACCGATCGGGCCAAAAGAGGGTAGCAGGCCCAGTAAAGCCCGGAGAGCGGACCGAGAGCTCTTGGGATGAAGGGGTCGGGAGTGATGGCATTTGACCTCCACAGTGTCCCGGGCCCTGATCAATTTCCTCAACCCCACTCCCTTGCTTCATTTCAGAACCCTCATCCCGTGACAACTGCGTTAAGGTTGTGGTTGAATGTTTGCAAACACGTTTCTCTTTTTCGTATTTTAAAAAATCCTTTTCACCTGAATCCTCTTGGTTGCCACCCATCCTGGTCTCCAGGGCGGGTAGAGAGAGTGTGATCCTAGGCCTGACCTCCAAATACTTCATGGAAGCAAAGGAATATTGTTACTCCACAGTAAACTACTTTTTCCAAAAGGCAGCACTGGAGTACGCAACTCAATCTACTGTGTCTTTGGGTAACAAATGTGAAAGGCAGGATGGACGATACTGGGTGAAGCAACTAGAAGCCTTGAGCTAGCTGTCATGCTCCTTCCCACCCAGTCCTTCAGGCAGAGGTGGGTGGGGGCTGGCGATGGAAAGAGAGATTGGGTGTGATTGGGATAAAATTCACCTGTAGTTATCATTTGAGGGGTGATGCTATTTTGAAAAAGCAAACAAGCATAAGCTGGTGAGAGCCTGCTGTTGAGCTCTGCCCTATCTGTGAGAATCCTCAACTTCAGAGATTCAGGCTGGAATTTGTCACTGAGTCCATTCTGTGCCCTAAAACAATGATTCAGACAAATATTGTTTTCACTAATCCAAGCCTGATACAGTGTATAATGAGTGATGAAAAACTGGAGGCAGGTGGTCAGAGGGGCTAGTAACTAGCCAGAGAATGAGGAGACCTCAGTTTTATCCCAGCTCTGTGCTAATTAGCGCCTTTGGAGACTTAACTAACACAGGCCTCCATATGATCATCTATGAAATAAAGATAATCTCCAGCATATCTTTGATTCTAATAACAATACCAATGACATTTGCTCCTGTTAACTGAGTTCATATTATGTGCCAGATACCGAACTGGCCACTTACCCACACTATCTGATTTAATCCTCATGGCAACCCTACAAAAAGATAACCATGCCCGTTATACAGATGAAAATACTGAGCCTGCAGCATCCCAGCAAGCAAGTGGTGGTTTAAACCCAGGTTTCTCAGGCTCCAAGTTCACACCTTTAGCTCGGGCCCTCAGAGGTAATCCCCAAATTTTTCTGAGATGACAAACCTGTTGCCAGAAAAGCCCACATGCTGCTTTAGTATGTGATGTGAGACCTGGAAGTTAGGAGGAATCTTTGGCCACACACATTTCCACCCTACTCCCCTTTCAAATACCCTCCTAGAAGCCTTCTGAGTGAAAACTACAGGTGTGTTCACATGGCAATATGAAAGTCTTTCCTAAAATGCTCAGTCTCAAAGGTCATCAGAGAAATGCAAATTAAAACCACAGTGACCTCATTCCACACTCTCTGGAACTGCTGGAAACTAAAAGACTACATGCTGGAGGGAATGTGGAGTGGATAGATTGTAAAACTTCAGGGATTGGAAAATGATGCAACCATTTGGGAAAATAATTTGAATGTTTCTTTTATGTAACATACTTACTCTATGAGCACATCCATTGCTGTAACCAGGCAACTGAACTACTGCCTGTAGGCTGGTAAATTCCAGACGTGCAGACTCTCGCCCTTATCCAGTTCCTTCTGGATACCTCCGCTGGAGGGCCGATGACCATCTTGAAACTCATCATGCCCAGAAACGAAGCTTCCCGCGCTCCGCTAAGCTTCCTCGCCTTTTGCCCTGTTGCCCACTTGGCCTGGTGTGCTGGAGTTCAGACCAAATCCTCTCCCTTTTCAGCTGTTTTCCCAGTCTGACCACATGGGGGCACTGCTGAGACTGGCAGTGGCTTTATAGCAGTGGCTTTGGCTCCATCCAGGGAGGCATACTGCGGTTGCAGCCTTCCACCTGTCCTCTCCCTGGGCTGTGATAGGGTAGCCTCCTGTCTCTTCCCCTCCACCCTGGAGGTGCTAACAGCTTCCTGCTGTTCCCTTGGCTTCTCAGAGAGTTTCTTCCATCAGTATGTAACCAGTCCCTGCCTTAATCCCTGCTGTTTTAAAGGCTGTGCAGAGTGGTTTGGGGGTTCCTGGTTGGACTTGGACTGATGCAGACTGTAACCCGAACATCCACCTGCCTAGCTAGCATCCTGGGTTCCCCTCTCTCCCTCACCCCCATGTAAATTCTTAATGAATTTTGCTAATTTTACTTTCCAAAGATTTCCTCAAGCCATTCCCTCCACTCCATCCAATTGCCCAAGGAAAACCGCTCTCTGCTTTCCCCTACTTTACTGGATTATAGCGGAGTCCATTGCTCAAACTGCCAAACAGAATGATATACTTAAAAGGCCTCCCCAACCCATTTCACGCCTGTCTGAAATCCTTTCCTTTTCACTCCCTGCCACCCCCTACCCTTGCTGATAGGAAAACCAAGCTCACTAGCATAGTCTCTAATAGCCTGGGGATGGGGGTGGGGGCTGGCTCCTGTGGGCCTTTCCCCTCCTCCCCAGCCACTCCCTGCCTTGGATCTTTCAGCAGGTGTTCAGTCACTAAGTCATATCTGACTCTCTGTGACCCCACAGGCTGCAGCACACCAGGCTTCCCTGTCCTTCACTGTCTCCTGGAGTTTGCCCAAACTCATGTCCATTGAGTCAGTGATGCCATCCAACCATCTCATCCTCTGTCGCTCCCTTCTCCTCCTGCCATCATTCTTTCTCAGCATCAGGGTCCTTTCCAATGAGTCAGTTTGTAACATCAGGTGGCCAAAGTATCAGAGCTACAGCATCAGTCCTTCCAAAGAATATTCAGGGTTGATTTCCTTCAGTAGAGCTAGTCCTGCCTTCCGATCCCCCCGCCCCCCACCACACCAGGCCCCAATCAGGCCATCTCTATTCCAGGCTCAGGCTGGTCTTTGGCATAAAATTCTCTTGCCTGCCTGTCTTTCAACCACCTCCTTTGGCACCACCTTCTCCGAGAAGTGTTTCTGGATTCCCCCTATCCCTGTCACTCGGTTGTTGCTGCGTTTGGCTGGCAGAACATTCCACTTATACATTCAGCTAGAAATTTTCTGAATTTCTCTTTCCTTCCCCACCATGACCTATTTCATCTGTGTGTCCCTGGGCCTGGTGAACAAAGGTACAGTGGATAAATGCAAAATCCAACTAAATGGCAAATAAAATGCTAGAGATGAGATAACTGAATAATCTCTAAATCCTGAAGGAGGAAACCAGAGAAACACTGAAGATGAAAGAATGAAGTATTCTCAATTTAAAAAAAAAAAAGCTGTAACTGAAATGAATCTAATTAGAACTTACCTTTTTTCTAAAAAAAGGGCATTCTTTGTGGCTTAGTGGGGATCGCAAAGAGTCGGACACGACTGAGCAGCTAACTGAACTGAACTGTGGCTCGGCTGATAAAGAATCTGCCTGCAGTACAGGAGACCTGTGTTCGATCCCTGGGTTGGGTCGATCCCCTGGAGAAGGGAAAGGCTACCCACTCCAGTGTTCTGGCCTGGAGAATTCCACGGACTATATATAGTCCATGGGGTTGCAAAGAGTCGGACACAACTGATCGACATTCACTTTCACTTTTAAAAAAGAGGTGGGTTAACAAATTAACAGTATCATTGCCCAGCAGTCACCTGGGGGTTTCTCACCTTGGAGGTTGGGGTAAAAAGGACTAGACGCTCCCCACCCCCTCCAACCCCCCATTTCACAACCTGTAGATGACCAAAGATTTATGTTAATTTACGCAAATATCTACATCACATTTCTAATTGTAAATTAATCATTGTTCTTCTTTTACATCAGTCATTGTAAAGTTTTGGTTCCAATGAGCTGCTCCTACTGGGCCTACACAACCCTTACAATTTCCAGTTTCTAGAGACTGCCTAATTAGATCTAAACCCGGTCTGGTTGAACTCACCAAGGAAAAGCCATGTGGCAGGGCTCCCAGAGTTTTGCTTTAGGCCTTCTTTCCCCTGCATGCAGATGTCCTGCAATGGAACTGGGCCGGTGTTTGGTGGTTTGGCCAAAAAGTAGCTGATGGGCCTTAAATCCCTGTGCTGGCTGTGGACACACGCTTGCCTCCTCCTTCTCTTCCCAGGCAAAGCTTCCTCTCTAAGAAAACTCATCCTGGAACTTCCCTGGTGGTCCCATGGCTAAGACTCCAGGCTCTCAATGCAGAGGGAGCCCAGGTTCGATCCCTGGTTGAGGAACTTGATTCCACATGCCACAACTAAAGATCCTGTGTGCCATAACGAAGACCCAATGCAGCCAATTAAATAAATAAATAAAAAGGAAAATTCACCCAGAGTAAATGCCACAGGTGTGTATTTTCCCTGTGTTTGGGAGTAGCTTCCCTCAGCTACCAATACTGCAATCCTGCTTGAATCTTTAAGGAAGCTGTGCGATCCCCAGTCCCCATGGCTTTCATCACGACTCCTCCTCCTCTCTGCAGACCCACCTCCCTTTTCCAAACTCTCCCACAAGGCCTCATCCGCCTGAGTGTTGCTCCTGCTGCTGGGTCTGGTCTGGTCCGCTCCTTTCCCCTTGGGCGGCTTTGTAGCACAGTGGTCCTTTGCATGGCTCTGTTCCTTTCCTCAAAGCATTGCGTGTATCTCTTTGGCCTCAGGACTAGATTGCATTAACTTTTCAAGAGTGTTGAAGACCCTGCCTTTTCAGTCCTGACACCACCTTGCTGGCAGGCCCTTACCTCCAGCACTGCCCAGGGAACATATAGCAGGCCCACCCAGACTTCTCTGTGCCATCTGGGCTTACTTGGGAAGCAGGTGGGTAGAGACAGAGGGGCCATGGGCAGAAGCTGCATGTTGAATAGTGTTGAATGGCTGAATGGTGACTCAATCCATCCAGTGCCTGCGAGAGGAGGTGGGAGGGGTCACCCCCAAGCCAAAGAGTCTGAGAATCTATGCTGCCTCCTTCCCTCCTCCTTCTGGCTGAAAACAGAGGACTCCAAAGGCTCTGGAAGGTGGTGGGGGACAACCAAGGGGAGGAGTCCAGGTTCCGAATCAGTCATGGAGGAAGTCCACCAAACGTCTCCATTGGTCTTGGCAAGAAATCAACTCCTTTGTGTTAGTCCCTGGGTTGCTGGGGTCATTTGCTCTGGCATCCAGAGCTGCCTGAGCTGGTACACCTTTGCTCCCAGACCACAGGGCAAGGCTTTTCAGTCCCAGGGTTGTGGAGTGCTACATCTGAGGATGAGCCCTAGCACCTGGGAATACAGCACTGGTGGGGGGGGGGGGGGGACAGTGATATTCCTTGTGTGGTTGGAAGATGTCCCCTAATGGCAGGGTGACACTGCATCACAGTTTCCCAGCTTCCCAGGACAGGCAGCTGGACACCGACTGGCCCCACTCATCGTTCACGACACCCCCTTTTCTCTGTCAAAAGTGTCCTGGTTTGGAAGACACAGAATATAGAGGTGAATTTCCCACATCATTGAACTTTATCCTTTAGATTTGGAAATTACAACTCGCAACAAGGCATCTTGACGTGATCAAGTGTCCTCACTGAGACTAGGATTTTGCTGTCATCGTTGCTTCAAAATTCATAAATAAAGGAGAGAAATTTGCCTTTGTTCTGAAAACAAACACGTTAAAAACAAACCACTCACTACAAGGCCCTTCCTAGAAATGGAAGGCATAGCCAAGAATAAATAAATAAAATTATTTAAAAAAATATTATTCAAGCTCTGCTCTCTTGGCTTGATTTTAAGTTAGATCAGATAAATATGTCCAGCAATAACTTAGGGGGGAAAAGAGAGTGCCCCTCAAATATCTGAAGGGTTTCACCAGCCCGGGTGGCTCCCCCACCCCCTTGCCACCCTCCACCCCCAACCCTTATCCTAAACCGGGTCCTGCAGAGGCTTCTGTGTTTCCACTCTGAACCCACATGTCTGTTGTGGGCTCCAACCCGAGCGCCAGGCTGTCCTCAGTTGCCCCCAATGCTTTTCTTTCACAGAATGAACAAAGCTGAGGTGGGGGAACAGTGGTGTCTGGTAGGATCCCTAACAATCTGCTCACCCCATATGTGGGTCTTCAGATGGACTGAAAAGTACTTGCAAAGATCAAGAAAAGGAAAGATTGTTGAAACTGGATCATGGGTGCATGGAGTTGATGATGTCATTCTCTGCATTTCTGTATGTATTTGAAAATTTCCATAAGAAGTGCTTTTTAAAAAGTCACGTTTGACCTAAATACATAAAATAAATAAAATGGTTGTGTCTAGACCCCAAATGTGGCCTGCAGGTCAGAACAGGCACCGATGCCAAGGAGGGAGGGGGCAAGGAGGGGAGCTGTAAACATGGGACTTGAGGGAGCAGCTGCAACGTGTGGATCTTATTTGGATCCTGATTCAAAGCAACAAACTGTAAAAAAGCATTTATGAGACCATCAGCGGTGTCTGAACACCGACTAGTCCATGACATTCATCAATTATAATTATGTTCTCAAGGTGTGATTTAAGTATTTTGGAAAGGTTTTTAAAATAGTTTTTTTTTCTTTTGTTTTGAGAGATACGTACTGAAAACAGACAGAACTGACGTCTAGAAACTTCCTGATAACCTTGGGTAGGGTGGTTGGGCAAGTAGGTGCAGGGAAAGAAAACAGTGGGTTGATGGTGGGAGATGCAAAATGGATGCAGGTCTGTTTTCGTGTGTGTGTGTGTGTGAGTGTGAGATATGCTCCATAACAGAAAGGGATATGTATGTACCAAATGAAGGGACCCTGTCCTGCCTCTTGGCCAATTTAAGAAACCACATTCACTGTCGCCTGCCCTAATTCTCTGCCACATCCCATGGAGACCTCCAAGCCCCCAGGCCTGTTTCTTAGGAGATAAACCAACTTATAGGCTTCCCTGGTGGCTCAGTGGTAAAGAATCTGCCTGCCAATGCAGGAGATATGGGTTCCATCCCTGGGTCGGGAAGATGCCCATGGAGAAGGGAATGGCTACCCACTCCTGTATTCTTGCCTGGAGAATCCCATGGACAGAGAAGCCTGGTGGGTTATAGTCTGTGGGGTCCCCAAAGATTCGGACACGACTTAGTGACTAACCAACACCAGACCAACTCCCACCCTCCCCTGTTCCAAAGTTAGAAAGGGGCAGCTCGGAACGTTGGAAATGACCACATGAAGACAGCCAGCGTTCTCACTGATAATACTGTTTATTGTCCACGGACCGAGCGGTCACTTGAGAAAGACACAAAGCATCGGAGACATGCGCTGTCTGCTTGTCGACTTTCAACAACTCTCACGTGTTCCCAGCAAAGGAAGGTCTCAAGACTTCATATTCCAGCAAAATCACATTGCCCCAAAATTGAGAAAACAAACAAACGAAAAAAAAAATCCAAACAAAAACAAACAAGATCAACAAAGCTTTAAATTACGGCGGCAGGTCCGATATTTCTTAATACTTATCAAGCAAAGATTTGGAAATAACTACAATGTAAACTTTATTTTAAATACTTTGAGTCGCTTGCAGAAGACAAGAATAGAGGGAGGAAAGAGCAGTGCTTAGAACATAACATATAAATTAATGCCAAATGGAGAGCCTTCTTAAACTATATATATATGGCAATTATTGACTGTGAGAGTATTTGAGTGGATTCTTGGCCACCATTGTGTTCTTCATCTTGACTCAGCATGGCTACAAGACCAATGTGCGTGGATTGAATATAAAGGCCATTTTTTAGAACCAACCTACACAAAGATTCTTTGCTTTGTAATAACTGGAACAAGAGAACAAAAAATAGGAGACAGAAAAGCAATGATACTCAAAGAACGGAAGAAAAGGTCTGAAGGAATCACCATCATAGGCTAGCTATCATGCCATTTCCACTCTGGATCCAAAGCTCCCACGATGCAGAAACCTTTGGGGAAAAAAAGGTGCGAGTCTAACCCCTATCGAGGGTAATAGAAAACACAGCACAGGAATGATTACAACTGATGTCAGAAACAAACCAAAACATTAAAAAAAAAAATCAGCAGAAACAGGAGTAAATGTTACATATGATAACACCGTACAGGAAGCAGACGGGGGTAGGGTGTTATATTGACTGGAGGGTCTGGTGTTCTTATATATACTGAAATCACACGGACTGGTCCATTATGACATCTTACAAACTTTCTATCACTGCACAACATGAAGATGCCCTTGGAGCGGGCTGAATTCCTGGAGAGTCCCCTAGTCTGCCCTAGAAAGGGGGTCATCAAAATCTGTGCTGACCAGGCCCCCGGGTGAGCATGGGGGGGTGCATGTCACAGCGGGGGAGGGTCAGGAGTCTCAGAGGTGCTTTGGGGTCACCACAGAATAGAGCAGGCTTAGAAGATGACTTTGGGAAAACTCTGCAGAACGACTACTCCCAGGCCAACAGACTCCAGTTTCATTGTGTGTTTGCATAGCGTGCATGATAAACTTAGGACAGTTGACCTTTACAGCACAAGTGGGGAGAAAAAGGAGATTATCTTTACTGTTACTGAGAAATTTCTGACTCCATTAACCCCCGATTTACTGGCATCAGGAAACTATCTTTAGGGAACAGCTAGGCTCCTTAGCTCCCTATGAAGTTTCTTAACTTGGAGATCTTTGTAACACAAGAAATATAAGCAGAGGAGGGTGGGTACACTGGTAAATTTGGGTTCACATATTCCCTAAGAATTCATCTTTAGCAGAATGAGATGTCTCTTAAAGCCGGCCACAGTATTCTGGAGGCCCAGAAAAGCCATGAGCGCTTTACTAACACCACCTCCCCGCCAAAATTCATCCTTCCCAAGGGAGGTCTTCATTCTGTGCTTTGCTGACTTCACTCTGAGGAACCCCTGCACCCCTGGGGCACACTGACGGTCAGTCTTCCAGGGAGTCACACTGTTAAAACTCTGGCACCTGCTTGGGGGGCTCTGAGGTGTGTTGGGGGACAGGGCAGGACCCAGCTTTTGATGTCTTCAAGATGTGCCAGACAGCAGGGGTAGTTCATGCCACTGGCCACACAGAGCCCCTCGCAAAGCCAATTCATGCCCCTCCACCTGGGTGCCCAAGGCCAGACAGAGGAGGGTGTGAGAGGGGCCTTAGCAGCTCAGGAATGAACTCTAGGGGCAGCCAGGCCTCCCTGCCAAACATCTACGCCAGGGCAGGATGTCACAGGCTCCCTCAAGGGCTGGGGCGGGTCCTGCGGGCCGGGGATGGGACCCAAAAAACTTGGCTGGAGCTGAAGCCTGCCGCCCTCACATCTCTACAAGGCCAGGGAGGGAAGCTCCTGCTGGAATCCTGCAGATTAATATGATTAACTGGGGATCCTTCCAGAGCAAGCCAGTGGTCCAGGGCTGCTCCTGGAAGTCACAGACGCTGGGAGTCCATGGTGGGCATGGGGGAGACAGGGGGTGCACAGGGGCCACCACCCTAGGGCCAGAGGTGTGGAAACTACTGGAACTGAGGGACATGCCCCTCTCAGGATGAAAGGGACCTGGTAGGCCTGCTACACAGTCCGGCAATGACCCTCGAAAGTTCCCGCAAAATGTACATTTCCAGGCTCTGCCCTGACCAGGCTTGGGGACCCCAAGTGCTGTCTGCTCAGCGTTTGTGACAGTGCCAGGGCTGGGCCCGGGAGGGACACCTGTGCGTCCGGCCCTTGCCCGCACCCAGGGACAGGAGACCAAGATGCACAGTGCCCAGGTTGGCGGATGGGGTGTGGGACCCATCTCTGCCTCCAGACCCACACCTGTGTGTTTAAAATGAAGATGGGGGCGGAGAGGATAATCACACTAACTTAAAGCCACTTGGATGACTGTTTTTATTCATGCTGTTTCCAGGAAGGGATGTCGGAGCTGGACCAGTCTGAACTCTTGGACGCTGTCAATTGGCCCCAGGGGTGCTGGTGGCCTGCTTACGGGTCCTCGATGTCCAGAAACTCCTGCTTGGGGGGTGCTGCTCCGCGGTACCAGGCGCAGGAGCCGTCGCTTCTCTTGATGCAGGCGAAGAATTTGGCCTGGTGTCCGTTGATATTCTTCTCCGTGACCCAGTCCATCCAGAGGCACTCATCCGGAGAGGAGATGTAGCATGGGATCATGGGGCATCGCGTGATCTAGGAAGGGGGACATGAGGTGGATTCAGCTGGGGACCAAGGCCACTCATGGGGCGTCTCCAGAACCTGGCCTTCACCTGGTGAAGGTGTTCAAGGGCAGTGTGCAGAATGAATGACCAGGTATGTGCAGCAGGGAAGGAGGGAGGGAGCTGGGATTGCAGTCGAACCTGCTCCATCAGTAGGCTTTCCTGAGCCCCAGACTCTCCAAATGGCAGCAGGCAGCCTGTCCAAGATAGGACAGAAACCTTTCTGTACCCCCTAGCTACTGTAAGCACGCCTTCTACTTTGTGCCATCTGGTCTACCTTCTCTGAGCACAACAAACCGGCTTCAGCTTAGCCCCACCTTCCAGAGAGTTTAACAACAACAACAATAAAGGGCCTTGAGAGACTTCCCTCATGGGCCAGTGGTTAAGACTCTGCACTTCCACGGCAGAGGGCATGGGTTCAATCCCTGGTCAGGGAACTAAGATCTCACATGCCTCATTGCACGGCCAAAAATAAGGAAGGGGGCATCTCATAATATATAAATAAAACAAAAAGCAATAGAGTTTTGACTATCAGACAGGTTCAACTCAAGTAAAAAGAACAGCGTCTTGCTCCCAAGCACACGGATGCTTCGAGGAGATCAGCAAGGATGAATAGCGTCTTGGCAAAAGAACCTGAGTCCACCAGAGGGTGCAAACCTTCAGGCCATGCAAAGAAAAAGGAGGAACTTTTTTTTTTCTTAACTTCACCTTGGGCACAGAGGAGTTTGCTAGACTTACAAGTAGTTGTGGGTCAGAATTCACACTGTGAACGAGCTAAGGGCTGGGCTAGCGAGCATCTACCAGGATGGGCAGGAAGGCCACAGAAGCAGTGTGAACTGGCACAGGCCAATCTCTGGGCCACAGACTCACAATCTTGGGCCCAGACTCACATCCTGTGCTGGGGCTGGGGGAGGGGCGGTGGGGACCGGGGGATATTAGGAGACAACAGAATGGGACCCTGGGGGCCACGCAGATCTCACCTTCTATGGCTGCGTCTAAGCGTTTGCGCTGCTGTGACTGTGTTTGGCACCACCTCTGGGGTGCTTTCAAGAAGAAAGGCAGGGGCTTCAGGGGTTCTCAACACACAGACCCCATATTTACATGGACCCATGTGTGGAAATGGCGGTACACTGGCAAAACCATAACACCTGGGATGTTCTTTCCCAAGGCACGCCAAGTCTCTGCACTTGTACATTTGTAGAAAGACATTCCTAAGGCCCATGTTCAGCCCACAAAACTCCTCCTGCTAGAAGGCTCCCTTCCTAGAAGCTGCAGCCCACGTGGTCAGATTCCCCTTAGCTCCCAAAAGCCCCTGGCTGGACACCCTCACTTGTGGGCAGACCACACCTCCTCAGAGCCCTGTCCTAAGTCAGGACCCTGTGGATTGAGAGGCCCTAGGAAAGTCAGGGATCAACCCCCGGCAGTCCACCTGGAGGGGGTGGTGGCAGCTTACCTTGCACTCACAGCCCATCTGGTACCTGTGGTTCAGGCTCTTCTTCTGGGTGGTGCTCAGGGTGTCCCAGGGCACGATGAAGTCACAGAGGGTGATATGCATATTGCCATTCCCCTCGGCCTTCCCTGAGGAGACAGGGGTCACCAAGCTCAGAATGAAATTACGGGTTCTCTTCTTTTTCCTGCATCTGGATGAGACTCAGGCATAGGGAGGGTTAGTTCTGACAGTACCCTGGGCCGTAGGCTATTTTGTGTCCCCTCCAAAGCTCCGAGATTGAAGCCCTGACCCCTAGCACCTCAGGATGTGTGACTCTATTGAGAGCGAAGGTCTTTAAAGAATTGATTAAAATGAGGTCATTAGGGTGCGTCCAAATCCAGTAGATGCCCTGGTAAGAGGAAGAGATTAGGACACAGACAGACACAGAGGGATGACCACGGAGAAACTGGCCATCTACAATCCATGGAGAGTGGCCTCCAAAGAAACCAACTCTGTCAACATCTTAATCTTGAACTTCCAGCCTCCAAAATTGTGAGAAAATACATTTCTACTGCTTAAGGCCTCCAGTCTGTGGTTTTTGTTATAGCAGCCTGAGCAGACTCATACACCATGGAATATTTATTCGGAGTATAAGAATGCAAGCTCACTGTAGAAAACTTAAGAAAGTAACTTTTAAAAACATCTCTTTTCATTACCTAGAGCTAACATTCTGATGCATTTCCTTTCAATATTCTTTTATGCACATGAATTCAAGTGAAAAATGTCACTGTTGTATGTAGATTATGTTGTTTCTTGTGTTTTTTTCCACCAAATATTTATTCACAAGCATTTCCTCCATATGATGTTGAACCTGTAATTCTGGGTTGTTCCATTATGAACAGTAAGAGCAGAATTTTATAAAATCAGCAATCTGCCCTAAATTCCCTGTATTGGGCATGATGAGATGCTTGATAAGACACCTTTCGCTCCTTAGACTCCTAACTCAGCCCCCTTCCTCCTTTTGTGAAGAGTTCTCACTGGTGACAGCCCAGGCATTAGCAGAGCAGAAGAAAAAGACAGACCAGTGTATTCTGGTGAATGACAGGACCTAATGAGGGCTGGGGAGGTCGTCTAAAATCTTGTCCTTCCTGTTATAATGGCACCTTGTCAAGAGACACAGATGCCCAGTGATGACACCAGAGCCTGGCAGAGAGTGACACGCGACTCCCTGAGAGGCACCTAATGAGGGCTGGGGAGGTCGTCTAAAATCTTGTCCTTCCTGTTACAATGGCACCTTGTCAAGAGACACAGATGCCCAATGATGACACCAGAGCCTGGCAGAGAGTGACACGCGACTCCCTGAGAGGCAGACAGGAGCCCCGGGCTGCACCCTGGGCATCTTGGCTTGACAAAGCTGCAGCGCTTCCAACTTAATGATCTCAGGCACAGCCCTGGCCACCAACAATCGCTAATAGAAACACAACTCAGCGAAGTGCTGATGCAGAGAGCTTATCCACTGCATCCCATCAGGAGGAAGTGAAACAGAAACCTGTCATCAGGGGAAAGACATCAGCTTGCCTGAGGCTGCACGTGGCACCAATGGCATCCTTTGTGCTGGGCAGGTGGCAGGCAGCACTCCCCAGGTGTGAATTCTCCTGCTCTTCTTTGTCTTAACCACGCCTCTAACCTTCAAGCCTTCTATTTTTTCTTGGACTTGTCTGACATTCCAGGTAAAGAAAAGGATCAAGAAGCAGGAGGACTCCTTGATTGCATTCATTCTGATCCTAATAACTAAAAAAAAGATGTGTCTGGGTGACCTTAAGCTTCAAAAACAGCTGTAGTTTTTTCTAGACCTGATGCTGAAGCTGATGCTCCAATACTTTGGCCACCTGATGCAAACAGCTGACTCACTGGAAAAGACCCTGATGTTGGGAAAAATTGAAGGCAGAAGGAGAGGAAGGCGACAGAGGATGAGATGGTTGCATGGCATCACCAATTCAATGGACACGAACTTGGGCACACTCCAGGAGATGGTGAGAGACAGGGAGGCCTGGCGTCCATGGGGTTGCAAAGAGTTGAACGCAACTTGACAACTGAACACACACACACAGCCATTTTCTAAAGAGTACAGAATAGACATGGAGCTAAATGGACAATGGCAAGTAACTGTTTCCTATATCTTGGTTTCTTCTGGCGTTGACCTTGCCCGGCCTGGTCATTCATTAGAGGCAGGCTGAGTACTCATTCCAGTCCCTCCCTCCAAACTTATGTAGCAACTTCCACTGCATCATGTGACTGGCATTAGTCTCCCACGTCACATTGTTCTTTGCCTTTCTTGCATATCATGTTCTTTAATCAGGTCATAAGCACAAAGGGTAATGGTTGTGTCTTAATCCTTTTTTATTCATAGTTCCTTGAACATAGTAATGGCTCAGTAGAAGTTTACTGATGATGACATGGTTATTTGTTCTAACAATGTGTTTCAATATCTTTTTTTTTGCTGTTTTCCTTTTTAAGCCTTTTCACCACCAGTTCAGGCTTCCACAGAAAGTGGGCAAAGGCACAGCACGGAGATGAAATGCAATTTTTTTCTTTTTAAAAAAAATTTTGTTTACTTATTTTGGGCTGTGCTGGATCTTTGATGCTGCGTGAGGGTTTTCTCTAGTTGCAGCGAACAGGGACTACTCTAGTTGCAGAGAGTGCATGGGCTTCTCACTGCAGTGGTTTCTTTTCTGCAGAGCACGGGCTTCAAAAGTTGTTCACGAAGGCTCAGTAGTTGTGCACACAGGCTTCGTTGCTCTGCAGCGTATGGGATCTTCCCAGACCAGGGATAGAACCCATGTCCACTGCATTGCCAGGCAGATTCTTGACCACTGAACCACCAGGGAAGTCTGAAACTGTGTATTTTCAATGGCCCCAGTTCCCAGTTCCCATGAGCTTTAAATGTCATGTGTAAATGGTGTAGCATCTCAGAATGTTAAGAAGAGATGCCTTTCGGTAGAGATAATTAAGACTTGATTTGGTACGTGAGCATCTGTCTGCCTTGGAAAAAAGCAAAGTCTTTCTTGGACACAGAAAAGCAGGAATTAATTAAAATTTGTAACTGAGGGTTGTATGTTTACTTTTCTTTCCGGAGATGAGGACTGGAGAAGAAAATGACAGGGCCGACTCTGTAACAGTTCCTGAACACAAGCGTCTCACGGTGCCAACTCGACATGTGAAGCTGAGTCATCAGCCCAGGAGGAGGTGGGCTGCCCCAGGCTGTGTGGTCACTCGTGGGGCCGCAGCCAGCACTAGCTGAGTGGTTTTCTGTGCCCCGTGATTCTTGGTTAGCCTGTTGTGACTCCAGGAAAACAAGATCTAGATTCTGTGCTTCAGAAAGTAAACACCAGATTGAATCCAGAGCCGCCTCACTGAGCCAGGGAACGAAGCTGGCTTAGAGAGGTTCCTCTGTAATGGTGTGAGTCAGTAGCCAGTGGAAGGGCCTTTTATTAATCTTATGCTCCATGGCCAGTTAGGAAACTAAAATGTGCCCCCTGTTGCTTGCTTCCAATGTGAAATGTATGGTAGCTTAAGACGATAGCTTCTCGGGTGGCACAGGGGTAAAGAATCCGCTTGCTGATGCAGGAGACACAGAAGACGCAGATTCAATCCCTGGGTCAGAAGATCCCTTGGAGAAAGGAATGACAACCCGCTCCAGTATTCTTGCCTGGAAAATTCCATGGACAGAGAAGCCTGGCAGACTGCAGTCCACAGGGTCGCAAACAGTAGGACATGACTGAGCGTGCTCGCACTAAGGTGACAGGCACACACTTATCAACTGAGAGCATCTTCAAACATTTGTAGTTTTTCTTATAAGTGGAGCTACAATTTGGATGATTTCATGGGTAGTAAGTTTCTGAAATGTGTGTGGCAGTTACTTGTATAACTGTTTTCTCAGCCTGGGGACAATCGAAAGGGCTTGGGTGTGGGAGCAGTTTCACAGGTCATGTACATATTACATGTTAAATAGTCTTTGATGGCAGATATGAACAGCTGAGATGACACGTGAGTGAAAATAAATGTTATCAGAGAGTGACTGAAATTATGAGGCTTTCTGCATTTGACTCACCATGCTCCCTTTGGACATGAAGACTTTCCCTTTCAGAAAAGGGTCTGAGCACAATAGATGTTCCTATCACATCTCCCAAAAGGAAGAAAAGCAACTACCAGCAAAACAATCATTGCACCATCCTCCACGCCTGTCCTGGATCCACCTTCTGAGCAGCCCCATGGTTTTCCTGCACTCCTGGGATAAGCAGGGAAGGATAGGACCCAAGCCCCATGCTCCAGAGAGACCTTGCCAGGGCTCCTGACTGCTGGACATAAGACCTCTCCCCGTCCTGCCCTGGGATCCAGCCAGAGGGCCTTGCGGTCTGGACCACCCATCTTGTGGAATAAATAGCAGTGCCACACTCCTCAGGATCTCTGGGCAAAAGGCAGGTCTGACTGCCTGGGAAGGGCCCCAGCAGATGAAAATCATGCCCAGAGACCACTCTGCGAGGGGGTGACTGACCCTGGCTGCTAGGGCTCAGGCCTCCTGAGCCTGTGCAGACTGGCTCTTTGGCACCTCTAGAACAAAAGGTCTGCCTCTGACCCAGAGCAGGGCAGGTTCTCAGCCCTGGCTGTGCACTGGACTCTCCTGGGGAGCTTTACCAAAGCTCTGGGGGTGGGAGGCACCCCCAGAGATGGTGCTTGAATTGGTCTGGGGAGCTGCCTGGGCATCAGGAGTTTTGCAAACTCACTGTGGAATTCCAAAGAGCAGGGGAGGTGGAGGACCGCTGGGCTAGGTGTCAGGGCAGCGAGACTGCTAAACCTGGACCAGTGATGGGAGAAGCGTAGTGTGACAGACCCAGGAGTCAGGCTGTTGTTGTTTGGTTGTTCAGTCGTGTCCGACTCTTTTGCAGCCCCACGGACTGTAGCCCAATAGGCTCCTCTGTCCGCGGGATTTCCCAGGCAAGAATACTGGAATGGGTCGCATTCCCTTCTCCAGGGGATCTTCCTGACCCAGGAATGTAACCTGTGTCTCTTGCATTGGAAGACAGATTCTGTACCACTGAGGCACCAAGGGTTAGGCTGAAAGTGAAAGTCGCTCAGTCTGTGTCTGACTCTGCGACCCCATGGCCTATACAGTCCATGGAATTCTCCAGGCCAGAATACTGGAGTGGGTAGCCTTTCCCTTCTCCAGGGGATCTTCCCAACTCAGGGGTCAAACTCAGGTCTCCCGTGTGGCAGGCGGATTCTTTACGAGCTGAGCCACCAGGGAAGCCCAGGGTTAGGCAGACCAGGGTCTAATTTCTGGCAGCACCACTCCCTGGCAGTGTGAGGCCAGCTGGGATGTGTTGAGAAACGCCTAACCAGTAGTTCTCCTGGGATTAAATGTGTAGCATTTGAATTCTGTGGTGTCAATACTCCTACCCTGGCCAACTTCAAGCTACCAACATGACATCAACCAAAGTTTAGTCACCGGTCTGAAAGTGGGTTCAGGCACACACCATGGGGCCTGAGCACACGGCTCCATCCTCTACTCCTCAGTTTTCCTCATCTATAAAATGGGGTCATGATGGGGGGTAGTGAGGATTAAATGGAACCCACATGAAAAGCATTTGGAGAACATCAGTGCCAGGAAAAGGGCACTTCTATTTCTATTAACGGAAAGCTGGTGGGGCCTGATGTAGAATCCTTTAAGACAGAGCCTCAGCGTGGGTAAGGATTCACCTGTGCATGTCTGGAAGCAGACGCTGGCCCAGACCAAAGTTACCTTCCCACCAGGAGCCACCAGCAACAGGATGCGGGCTCTCACTCCTTGAATAAGGGCTTCTGCAGCTCTGCAGTTTGGCCACATAGCCCCTAGAGGGCAGTGTGGAGACCCAGAGGGACGGCAGAGGCTCTCATTTTAAAGGGTGTTACTGCCAAAATCACTGCAGATGGTGACTGCAGCCATGAAATTAAAAGACGCTTACTCCTTGGAAGAAAAGCTATGACCAACTTAGACAACATATTAAAAAGCAGAGACATTACTTTGCCAACAAAGGTCCGTCTGGTCAAAGCTATGGTTTTTCCAATAGTCATATATAGATGTGAGATTTGGACTATAAAGAAAGCTGAGTGCCAGAGAATTGATGCTTTTGAACTGTGGTGGTGGAGAAGACTCTTGAGAGTCCCTTGGACTACAAGGAGATCCAAAAAGTCCATCCTAAAGGAGATCAGTCCTGGGTGTTCATTGGAAGGACTGATGTTGAAGCTGAAACTCCAATACTTTGGCCACCTGATGTGGAGAGCTGACTCTTTTGAAAGGACCCTGACGCTGGGAAAGATTGAGGGCTGGAGGAGAAGGGGACGACAGAGGATGAGATGGTTGGATGGCATCACCAACTCAATGGACATGAGTTCGGGTAAACTCCGGGAGTTGGTGATAGACAGGGAGGCCCAGCGTGCTGCGGTTCATGGGGTTGCAAAGAGTCGGACATGACTGAGCAACTGAACTGAACAGTGAGTAAAACATTAAAAACTTAGAAAAGAAAAACATTATGCTGAGGGAAGCCAGACACAAAGGACCATATATTACACGAGTCCATTTATAAGAAAGTCCAGTATAAAGAAATCTAGAGATGAGTGGTGGCTGAGAGCTGGGGGTGGGGGGAGAATGGCAGTTAGGAAGGTAATAGCTAAAAGGTACAGGGTTTCTTTTAGACCATGGTGATGACTGTACTCTAACCCTTGAATTATACATTCAATAATAAATATACCCTGACCCTTGAATTAATACATTTTAAATAACAGATGTTCAGAATAAGATATTTAGGAAGTTCAGAAGGTTTTCTAAAGGAAGGAAAAAAACTCCTTAAATATAATCTCTTTAAATATTTATTTTTATTTAGTTTAGTTATTGGCAGGGCTGGGTCTTAGTTACTGCACGCAGGATCTTCAATGTTAAATTGTAACGCGTGGGATCCAGCTCCTGACCAGGGATTGAACCCTGGACCCCTGCATTGGGAGCTCGGAGTCTTAGCCACTGGACCACCAGGGAAGGCCCCACCGTCACACTTACATCAACTGCAAGAAATAAAATTAAAGCCCCAGTTCTTCAGTTGCACCAGCCACAGCTCTCAAGTGCTCAGTAGCACACTGACCAGCTCAGATATAGGGCATTTCTGGCATCAGTGGAGGTTTGGCTAGACCTGTGGGTCTCAACTCGGGGTGATCCTGCTCCCCACCACAGGGAACATTTGGTGATGTGGAAGACCCCATGACTGGGGGGAGGATGTGACAGCAATTAATGGGTAGAACCCATGTATGCATGCACGTTCAGTCGTGTCCGACTCTGCGACCTCATGGATTATAAGGCTGCCAGACTCCTCTGTCCATGGGATTTTCTAGGCAAGAATACTGGAGTAGGTTGCCATTTCCTACTCCAAGAAGTCACAGATGCAGCTAAGTATTCTCCATGCATAGGACAAGCCTGCCAGCAAAAAATGATCTCAAATATCAATACTACTGATTTTGAGAAGCCCTGTTCTGGACCCTGGGGGTGCAAGCTAGTGGGGCAGGCAGAGGAGGCAATGGAAAGAAGTAAAGGGATTTCTGTATCAATTCTGGTCCATCCATAGTAATAAATATACCATACTAATGTTAAGATGTTAATAACAGAGGAAGCTATAGGAAGACCTGAGATAGCTGGCTATACTGTACTAACTTGCTCAAGTTTTCTGTAAATCTTTAACTGTTCTAAGAAATAAAGTCTAGTGATAATAAGAAAAAAAAGTAAAGTCATTTTATGTAAGACTAAAATAATAAAAACTTTAAAAGAGATGCAAGGATAAAATTCTGGTCTATCCATACAGCGGAATATTATTCAGCCTGAAAAAAAGGAGGAAATTCTGACACTTGCTGCAACATGGGTGACCCTTGAGGACATTATGCTCAGTGAAATAAGCCCATCACCAAAGGACAAATAGTGCTAGATTCCACTTTTATGATGTCCCTGGAGGAGTCAGATTTCACAGGGACAGAAAGCAGAACACCGGCTGCCAGGGGCTGTGGGAAGGGGAGTTTAATGTGCACAGAGTTTGTTTGGGAAAATGAAAGCATTCTGAAGACGGATGGTGGTGATGCTTGCGCAACAATGTGACTGTGCTTTATGCTGCTGAGCTAAAATCAGCTAAAATGGTAAACTTTATGCTAGGTATATTTTATGACAATAAATGAAAGAGGGATATGACGAACAAAGGAATGGGTGAGTAGCACACACAGTAATGTTAAGAGATTTAAAACAAGGTTTTGGGACTTCTCTGGCAGTTCAGTGACTAAGGCTCTGAGCTCCCAATGCAGGGGGGGCCTGGGTTCAATCCCTGGTCAGGGCACTAGCTCCCACATGCCGCAGTGAGGAGTCCTTATGCCACAACTGAAGATCTCGTGTGCTGCAACGAAGATCCAAGATCCTGCATGGTCGCAACTGAGACCTGGCACAGCCAGATAAATAAAAAACTACCTAAAAAAATAATAAAACCAGCTTTCAACTCTGCCTTCCGCTTCCTGCCCAGCCTTGAGCACTTCCAGCCTCTCACCTCTCTGTGTCCACCTGGCCTCAGATTTCCTATGAATACTGGTTTACTCTATTCTTTCTTGTAAGTCACATTGGTTCCACTATTCTAACAAGGAAAATGTGGAGGACGGTTGAAAATTTATCAGTCCTCTGATGGGAAAAAGCAGGGAATCCTCAAGACTTCTGAGTAGCACTGTGTGCATCATGCGTGTCGTCAAGGCTCTGGTTCACCTCCAGCCGCCCCACCTCCACTCCCCTGGACACCCTTGAAGAGCATCCCATGCCCATATCTGTGTACACACCTGCAATGAGATACTCCTTCTTTCCTCCAATGTCCAGCGAGACCCCACACACCGCAGAGGAGGGGGCTGTGTAGATAAACTCTATGTCCTTGTCAGGTCCCTTGAACATCTGGAAAAAGGAGGATGAGGAACGTAAGTGAACGTGGGCGGCACCGCCAGGAATCCGGATGCCTCCCTGAACACGTGCCCCAACCTGCACCCGGGGTACTGCCAGCATGGAAAAGGGATGGGGACGCACCGGTCAGACAGGCTGGAAGATGACAATTCCTAACGCATAGAGTTCTTCGGAATCACTGTGATTCACTGCCTAGGGTGGCAGCGTCACCAGGCTGGGGATGACCTGGTCACCCAGAAGGACCTGCCTCAGACACACCTGCCTTCCCAACAGCGAGTGAGGTCATCACAGAATCTCCAGGGAGGGGCTTGGATACCTCCAGGTGATTCTGACCCAACACAGAGGACAGCCACTTTCGTCTCTCTCCAGGAATTCTGATCAAGTACTGGCTACTTGATGCCAGAGCAGAGAGGCACCTCTTAATTAGGATGTAACCCCCTGGGCAAGGGGAGTTCAACTTGAGATTCCCCTAGAGCTCCTTGGGAACAGACTTGCTGCTCAGGAGAAGCGGTGCACTGTTTCAGCGTCTGGGCAGGAAGTGAGAAAGCCCCAGCCAGGGCGTTCCTTCTGCCCCACCAGGGACAGTGACAGGCGGGGACATGAGCATGGGCTGAGAACTGCCCTCCACTCCGGTTTTGGGGGTGCAGCTCGCTGGCAGCCAGGCGAGAGGGGGTGGAGGTAATGGAAAGGGGCGGGCACACGCGCGCCAGGACCAACACAATACAGGCGGCCAAACAGCACCATGGAACACACACAACCGAGGCTCCACGATCCACACGAACCTCATCAGGACTCTCGCTGTGGCTAAACCCAGGGTAACAGCACTGGTTGGTTTTGGGGGAGGAGAGCTTCAAGAAGCAAACCCAAATGGAACAGGGTCATCCCAATGTCACGATGAACCAGCTTTGCAAGAGCTATACCCCAACCCATGCCAAGAAAGGTCACGAATGACGTCTGTCACCAAAGGGCTGAAGGTGCTTCCTTGGTGTCAACACCTCCCTTTTCATAACCCCACAGTGGCTCATTAGAGCAGAGATACTGTCTTAACTGCTTCATAAATAGAGACGCTGGCACTGAAAGACCGGGGCACCCCTTTAAATGACACAGACTTAATGATTAAGCATTTTGGTGACCTTCTGGTAACATGTATATTCTATTTTTGCAACAATATGGACGGCCACAATGACTAACCAGGTCACAAAGCTGTCTCTCCAGCTAGAGCCTGGAATCTTCTTCCCTCTTACAGACCAAGTTTTGTTGTTGTTCAGTTGCTAAGTCGTGTCCGACTCTTTGCGACCCCATGGACTACAGCACGCCAGGCTCCCCTGTCCTTCACTATCTCCCCTAGTTTGCTCAAATTCACGTCCATTAAGTTGGTGATGCCGTCTAACCATCTTGTCCTCTGCCACCCATTTCTCCTTTCGCCTTCAATCTTTCCAGCATCATGGTCTTTTCCAAGTGAGTTACAATCAACAACAATAACCTTCCATTAGCACTGGTCCTGTCCTCCCACCCTCCCCTGTGTCTTCCTTCCTTCCCTCCCAAATACGGGCTCCTTGCCATATGACCTTGAACAATACCCACATTCTGAAAAACTGACAAATACCAGCCACCTTCCCCTGGGTCTATAGCCCCCAACACCTCCAGTCATACCCCGCCTGGCAAGGCGTCTTCTCCATCATCAGCTGGGCTGCCAAGTCCATGTCTTCCCTAACTCCCCTCTCCTAGGTAATGTCCCAGCACACCTCTCCATAGGAGCCGTCCTCTCTCCAAATCCTCACTCCTCTTGAAAGTAAAGCTAACCAGGTGAGACTGGAGCCCACTCGCACTTCGGGGGAGTTAGGTCATCTGCCCCATTAGTTGTGGGCTCCCAGAAACAATGGCCAAGTTCCCACTGCCTTTGAACCCACCCACCATGGAAGAGGCAGACAGGTACTCATGGAAAGTTCCACAGAAGCTGTGAAGCTGGTACCTTAATGCTGAAGCTCTGCCACTGACTTACATCCATCAGAATGAAGACAATGCATTTCTGAAAGAACTGAGCCGAGGGGAACATGCCACATGCACACAATTTCTCTGGCATTTACAGATTAAGGAAAATCAGATCTACCTGCAGTTTGATGCCCCTGCTCCTCACTGTCCGCCCCCAGCCCCTGGCGTGGTCGGACTAGTTCTAGGGGCCTAGAGGTGCAATGAGACGGCGGGACACCCTGCCATGCTCCCAAACCTCCCGAAGCTCTGCCGGACACAGCAACCCCAGGACAGTCACTGGTACCTTTATCTGCTTGATCTCATACTGAATCCGCTTGATGGGGTTGCCGTAGATGTCGTTGCCAGAGTCCACCTCCTTCTTACTGACCGCTTTGGCCCTGATCACTGCAAAACAAAGACGCAAAGGTGAGCAGAGTCCCCCGCAAGACCGTCCTGGCTCCAAGGTTGGGGCAAGGGAGAGGTGGCAGCAGGGAGGCAGGAGGCGAGGGGCCAGGTAATCCCAGCCTGGGCACAGCCCTGGACTCCACCCAGAGGGGGCAGACCAGGAATGAAGCCAGAGTCCCCTGCTGACAAGACCCTGGAGCAGCTCTTGTCCCTCAAGACCTGGGGGTTGCTGAGGCCATCACTGATTTGAACAAGGATCACTGTGGATCTCATTCTTTGGGACTCTGGGGCTTTTTTCCCTTTCTCTCCAATGGGTATGTGTCGGTGGCTGGGAAAGCAGATAAGCACACTGACCAGCCTCCCATCCTGATCACGCAGTTAAGGGTGGTGAGAGTCCTACCCTGCCCTCCTCCTCCTATAGCCTTCGATCAATCAGGCTTTTTCAGGCTGAAGGTGGAGGGGGAGTTACCTTCCTGCAAGAGTCCGATCGTATTTAGGTTGGGGGTCTGACATCAAAAAAGCCTATCCTGCCAGCCTCTGAATCTGTCCTCTACATGTCCCTGAGAAAAGTCCTGGGGCTGCTTTTTGTAATAACACATTCTACCAGAGGCAACGGCAGAGGAAGGTCAAACATTTTAACCCAAAGGGGCATGGAACGGGAGGAGGAGACATTTGAGAGCACCCGTGGCAGACAAAAGGGACAGATGCCGAGGGAAAAGGCCAAGACACAAAGAAGGATGGTCCTGGACCTTGACACGAGATGGAGGAGAGGGGAAGAGGTCAGGCTGGGAAGGTTCTGGAATGTTCCCTGAGGTCTGAGGCTGCGCGTGGGGCCTGCAACCCAGGGCTTCCTACTAGCAATTAAGCCGGGACCCTGCTCTGCCCCGTAACCTGATGGGCAGGGGTCAGCAGCTCATGCTGTCACTTGGGCAGAGCCCTCCCTCCCTTTTTTCATTTTGAGGCTCATCAGCTGGTGGCACAGGCTGTTCTAATGGCTTTAAAAGCTTTGTCCTTCAAGATTCGGCTGTTCAGGGTCCCTGTGGACAAGCGTCACGTGAGCATGGGTGTGAGCAAAATAGAGAAACAAGGCGCAGACAGGGCCTGGCTTGGAGGAGCTTCCCACCCTCCACCCCAGTGAGCGGCTGGAATCTCAGAGCCCCTGGCCAGGGCTGTCTTTTCCTGCAGAGCAGGGAGGTCCAGGACACGGACCCCCATCTGTGCCCACCCCCCTGGATCCCCCAAATGCTCCCTGGACCCCAGCCTGGCACCAGAGCCCCACGCCACAGCTCCAGTGCCCCGCCCCGACCCAAAGCCATCCTTATTTTTCCTTCTGTTGGCGCTGAGTCATGACTGGCTGAGGCCACAGGTTCCTGTTTCCCAGGCTGAGCCAGGCCCCAACCTACAAAGCCACATCCAGGAAATGCCAAGCGGTGGGCCACGCCAGAACAAAAGGCCGTGCCCTTGTAGCAGGTCATCCTGATCTCAGTGTTCCTTCCCACCCCTCCACCCATCTTCCCACCCCAGCACGTGTTACCTTTTCACAGTCACACTCCATCCAGCTCAAACATCTTCCTTGGCTGCCCACTACTGTCCTCTAAAACAGAAGACTCCTTGCAACCTGGTACCAGCCAGTGACTATTTCAGCTGCCTTGGTGGTCACCCACTCTTGTTTGTCCTGACAGTCCATAATACTTCCTGGATTTGAACCTGCCCAGGTGTCCAAATTTTCAGCCCTGAATGCCATCTCCTCTCTGCCTGGAGAACTTCTATTCATCCTTCAAGACCCAGCTGAAATAGCCCTTGTCCATCTTCTCTCTGGGAAATCCTGTCCTCTCCTGGCACTGGATATATTCCACACCTCTCATCCATTTTGCTATAAACACCTGTAGCCTTGTTTACTCAGAGCCCAGGGAGCTTCTTACAGGCAGAAGCTACACTCGAACCACAGAACAGTTAGCACTATTTGCTGAGCTGAACCTGAGATACCTGGATGGCAACACAGGTGAGTTTTGTCTCAGTCCCTCTTACCACCTGCCTAGTCTATACCTTATTGCAACACTGCCCAAAAATTTTTATGCGAATCAGTAAACATTAGATCAGTCTATCCTAAGTTTGCTCTTCCACAGTATCGTCCTCAGCGCATGCTATCAAACGAACCAGGACCATCCGAAGGAGATCACGGGTCTAGAAGAAGCAATGCTGCCAAACTATTATGGTATACCCAATCCTGCATGCTTTTTGAAACTTTTTGGTACTGCTTTTCAGAGGTCCAGCACTCTGCACAACGCTTACTGCATTATAGGTGTTCAATAAACACTCTGCTGACCATCAGAAAACAAGCAAAAAGTCAAAACTACCATGAGGTAGCACCGCTCACCAGTCAGAACAGCCATCACTAAAAAGTCTACAAATAACAAATGCTGAAGACGGTGTGGAGAAGAGGGAACCCTCTACACTGCTGGTGGGAATGTAAGCTGGGGCAGCCACTATGGAAAACAGGATGGAGTTCCTCAAAGAACTAAAACTAGAGTTGCCCTATAATCAAGCCATTTTACTCCTGGGCATATATCTGGATAAAACTATAATTCAAAAAGATACATAGACTCCCCCTCGTGTTCAAAGCAGCACTATTTACAGTAGCCAAGAGACAGAAACAGCCCAAACGTCCACTGACAGAGGAATGGATGGAGAAGATGTGAAATGTTACTCAACCATAAAAAAGAACAAAATAATATCATTTGCAGCAACATGGACAGACCTAGACATTGTCACACTAAGTGAGGCAAGTCAGAAAAAGATCAATGCCATGTGATATCACTAACATGTGGAATCCAAAAAAACACAAATGAACAATATCTGTGAAATATAAACAGCCTCACAGACAGAGCAGAGCTCTGGCTGTCCAGGGGGAGGGGTGTGGGGGGAGGGAGGAACTGGGAGTTTGAAATTAGCAGATGTAAACTATTATATGTAGGATAGATAAACAGCAAAGTCCTACTATACAGCACAGGGAACTATAATCAATATTTGGTGATAAATCATAATGAAAAAAAGAAGATGAGAAAGAATGTATATAATATAACCGAATCACTCTGCGGTACAGCAGAAATTAACAGCACTTAAATCAATGACACTGAAACCATTTTTTTTTAAAGGAAAATAATCAAAAACTACTCCCAAAGAGCCAAGAGACCCCATTCCATTCCACACAGTAAGGTGCATGCATTTGTCTCTCATAAAAGCTCCTAAAGCTCCCCGGCAGTCTGGGTCCTTATTTGAAAGTGGGCAGCACCAGGACTCCATCCTGCTGTAGCCCCTCCCTGCGACACAGCCTCAGGGAAGCTCCCTGACCTTGCTGGGACTCAGTTACTCATTTCTGAAACAGAGAGATACCACCACCACCAGTACGGGCCCACCCTCAGGGTGAGGGAGGGGATGAAGAGCTGGGCCTAAGAGATGCCTGGCACACAGGATGCGTGCGCAGCTCAGCGCAGAGCATACACAGCACCGCGGAGAATGGCGCCGATTCCCTCTCCCCAGGGCAACCAGGACTTAGAAGAACTGCACCAGACTCACTGCTCAGGCCCAGGGACCCCACCCTGGGCATCATGGACGCCAGTTCTGGGGCTGCTAACAGCTTCCTGGAGGACCTGCTTTGGGGCTACAGACCACACACTTGCCTTCAAAAACTGTCAGAAGAGAGTTAAGCCTAGAACATTCACTGGCCCTTGAGCTGCAAGTTGCCTGCAGGGAGGTCGGGGGTGGGGAGGGAAGGATCTCTGATGGGGCTTGTCACCGCCCAGGAACAGGAGTTCAGATTCTTCAGGGTCTGCTAACTGAGTCTCAATGTTTTTTTACAGCATGCAACAGAAAGAGAAGGAAAGAAAGTGAGAAGGAAGAGAGAAAAGAGAGCTCAGTTCTATGGAGAACCTTCCCCAAAGCATCAACACCCTCCAGCCTCAAAGGAGAGGGGCTGGGCACACTCCTGTCCATCTGGGCTCAGCACCCTCTGCACGGGGTGGGGGTGGGGAGACACATGTAAGTGTTGGCAAAGGAATCGATCACAGCCAGAGGATCCCACGGGCAGGCTACAGATAGCAGACCCAAAGGGAAACATGTCTAGGCCCCATGAGAAAGGGAGGGCAAGATGGCACCTCGGTGGAACCCAGCCAGCTCAGCCACAGACATCCCGACCCTCAGCTTTCTGCCCCAGCAACAAGCCAGAGTGGGGACTGTCTTCCCTGCCAAGCTCAGAGTTGGGCTACCTTTTAAGTACAAACCCGGAGAGCAGGGGCCCGATTCTGTTGCCCAAAGGGAAAAAGGCGCAAGGTATGGGAAAGTCTTCAGTAACAGAGCTTGCCTTCAAGGAGATACAATCCAGGCAAGAAGGATGGATGATGGACTGGAAAACAGAGGAGCACATTGTTTCCACCTGCCAATGGCAGATAGAGGAGGAGGAGGAGGCAGGGAGAACGTTCCAGAAACACGTTTCCTGCACCCAGCATGATGGCCATCACCCTGAACTCTAGACTGAAGCCACTCCAAGTGAGGGACGGGCCTCTCTGACACCCAGGCCATTTAAAGGACAGGGATGGGGAGTAGCGAAGAGACCCGGAGAATCTGGGAAGAAATAAAAATCGAGGCATGGACTCATGTTTACCAAACACCTGCTGCATGCTGAGCCCGGTGTCTGGCCCTGGGGCTGGGGATCAGGCTATCTCCTGTCCACCCCCACGAGCAGACAGCTCTGCTCCACCACCCCGCCCTTCAAGAACCAAAGGCAGTGGCAGGAGGGAGGGTCTTTACAAAGATCCCTGTTCTGACTGCTTTGCACCCCAAAATGATGGCCTCTCCCCAGGCTGCTCAGATTTCTGTTTCTTTCCCTTCGGCCGTGAACACAACATCTGGGTTTGAGATCAAGGGTGATTCGCTGGCTGATGAATTCACTGCCAGATGTTGGCTACTGGAATGCACAACCGTGGACTTAATTCAAAGCACAC